AAAAAATCAAAAAAAATAAAAGACAAAGGAAAAAAACCCACAGAAAACAACTTATATGTATATAGGTCTTGAAATGAGTGGAGTTGCAGCGCTTGGCTTTTTGCTTTTTTTTGCTTTTGTTTTTTGTAGGAGAGGTTTGAGATGGTACTCTATTATAATAGGTGAAAATAAAGTTTTGTAGTGGGACCAGAAATTCTAAATAAATAAATAAATGATCATAGTTTTAATTTGTATGGGTTTTAATACTTTACTCATAAATATCTTTAAAGAATGTTATACTTAAGTTACTTAAAAATATTCATAATTTGTTGTTAAATGAAAATAGGTTGTAAAAACCTTATGTATGGCAGTAACTCACTTTTTGGTAGTAAAATTTTAACTATATGTATTTATGTATGCATGAAAAAAAAACTAGAAAAGAATAAACCTAAAATCCATTATTTCTAGGTGGTGGGATTTTTTTTTTTTTTCCTTCTAAATTTTATAGAATGAGCTCATACAGATTTCCCCTACTCTCTGAAAATTGAGTGTGCCTATGAAACCTTTCTTAAGCCAAAATGGCATAAAACAAAGAAGCAATCACCATTCATTTATATGGCAAAAGTTTTTGAGCGATCCCAGACCCAAATAAAGCCTTCCATATCATACCAATGGAGCTCTGGTAGCGTAGTGGTTACGAATCGGGCTGCGAACCGCAAGGTCAGCAGTTCGAAACTACCAGCTGTGCCGTGGGAGAAAGATGAGGCTTGCTGCTCCCGTAAAGATTTACAGCCTCGGAAACGCTGTATAGAGTCACTATGAGTCGGAACCGACTCCACGGCACATAACAACAACAACAACAACATATCATACCAAGTAATACTAACATATAAGAGCCCTTGTGTAGCTCTGTAGGGATAAGCACTAAACTGTTAACCACAAGGTTGGTGGTTCAAGCCCAATAACCACTCCTTGAAACCCTGCACCAAGGTTGCTATGAGTTAGAATTGACTTGATGGCACTTAACATTGATGTCAACATCGTAGCGTTCACAGACAGAGTTCAAAGTTATGGTGGCTTAAGATGCTAAAGGTAGTTCCCAGGGAAGGAACTTAGAGCCGCCTCTCTTAAAGCTCGGCATACAGCTCTCAGCAAAACAAATGCCGATCGCTAGTTTTGCTTTTTTGTTTTTTCATAAAAGTGAAAATCCTCTTTGGATTTCTCTCCATTAGCAAAGCAAGTACTAACGTAGGTCTTTCATTAAAGCAGAGTGGTATAAAGCAAACTTTGGAAAAGTGGGGTTATTTTCAAAGATAAATAGTATTCATCTCTTTCAACAGTCTTTTCCAGGATTAAAAACCTCAGGAGAATCCTGAGCTTAACTAATTAAATAAAAAAAATAAATAAAAAGTTAGCTCATCATTAGTGTTCTTAATGGAAAAAGGGCAGTGTTCAAAGAAAAATTAAACAAATTGTTGGAGCTGGAGGAAAGATTCAATTTACTGCAGGCAGGCTATGTTTCTTGACTGAAAAATAAGTTGTTTCCTTTCATTTACCATCAGTACGCATATGCACTAGTTACATTTTGTCTCACGTTTTACACACTTAATTTTTCCTTTCTTGGTCGTCAGAAGGATAGGAAGTAAATTTTAGTCTGGGCAAGAAATCCCACTTGGTAAACTCAAAATAGCTTAATTATTAAAAAGTAGCACCAAAGAGCAGCCAACAACCTTCCAAAAGACTGTTAACATAATGTACTTAAAAAAAAGGGGTGGGGAATCGTATCCATCTGTCTGCAAGAAGACAAGGAGACACATGTATCACAAAAAAAGTCAATGTTTTGGAACTCAACATCATACATTACCTGTCTCTTTGAATTTAGAAACAATTCTAAAAATGTATTTCTTAACAATGAAAGTTATAAAATAATGTCATCATATCACTTACAAGAGACTCCAGACTTTAAAAACAAGGCATCTGCCAGCTGGAATATTCAGATGTAGCTGTCAAGAACTGAGAGGTAAAGGAAACTTCCAACTGAAAGCCTGCTAACTAGCCGGCTAAATTATTCTTAGAAAACGACATCTTCTTCGTGGTGTACTTGAAGAACTCAAGTACACCACCAAGTGTGTGTGTGTTTGTGTTGGGGGGGAGTCTCCCTCTTAGACATGTACAATTTATAGATGCTTATGCCTTTATGCGGAGGGATGGTCTTCAAGGATAAAACCCCAAAGACAAACCCATTGCCTCTGAGTTGATTTCAACTCACAGAGAATCTAGGATCTTCGAAGACTGCCTTTCAGACACTGGACTAGGACCTGGATTCCATGCTGTGGTACCATGGATGCTCTTTAAGGATCACTGAGCTCCCTCACCGTGAAGTAGAACTGCTCTGTCTCCTGTTGATTGGCCCTCCTCTTGGCGATGCTGGGCTTGCTCATGAAGGTTTCCGACACCGTGGACTTGACAGACTCCATGGAGTTGCTGTACTGGAAGCAGTCAGACACGTCAAAATCCTCGACAGTCACAATGTCCTGAATGGTCTGTAGGGTGGCTTCCATTGTCTTCTTCACCTGCCATGACAAGGGCCAACATAATTCATGAGGGGTAGGCTGCAAAGTAGCAGACGATGGAAGCTTGGGGAAGAAGGGATGTCCCCACCTGACAGTGCTAAGTGATAAAGATCAGATGGGCTCAGCTACAGTGGGCACCTCTCTCCAGTAAGGACCTAAAATCCACTCGTCCCTTCCTGCGATGCAAACAACTGAGCTCTTTTATTTAATACTGACGTTTAACACCTGCCATTAGCTCTTGCCTAGAATGGAAGTGCTAAGGGAAAGAAAATGAAATGAATCCAAACGAATCCCACAGTATAACAAAGAGCTAGTGAAAATGTGTGATGGTCTAGTTTTGCATATATCCCAGGTTTCATTTTAGGGCCCTCAACAGATCCATTCATTTCCCCGTTTGCAAACTAAGTGATCAGCCCTTCCTGATCTTCCTGGGAAATACTCAAACTTACTGGAATGCAAGGTAAAAAGTCATCTGAATGCAAAAAGAAAAGAACTTGGGTGATCAATCACACAGGGCTTCTGAAGTGGTAGTTGAAAACAAATACACTGGGCACATCTAAGAGGCTGGAGATGTTTGAAGTGTGAGATGCAACGGCCTCTGCTTGTTGGAAAATGTTGGAAAAAGCCAGGCATAAAGGGGTGGTTTCAGAGACACAATATTGTTCACACAGCTGCCAAGTGCCATTTTGATGAAATGTGTAGAGGGAGGGGAAAGAAAAAAAAAGCATTTTGCAAAAGCTCAAAATAGAGCTCAACCTTTGGCAATGCAAGGGCAACTTCCTGGAGTTCAAGGGCAGGATGTAGCAGAGGGGGAAAGTCCAAGTCTACATTTGGCTAGGAAATGTTTGCTGTAGCCCGGACATTCTCTGCATGCTCCTTCCACCTGCTCCCAGATAGGCAGCAGCAAGAGGTTCCACAGGGTGCCTCTGAGAATCGGAGGCTGGAAACTCACCTCTTCATTCTCAATCTTTAGGGTGGATAAGCGAGACTGCAGTTGTTGGCATCTCTGCACCAGCTCACTCTGGACAGGCTGCTGGGCACAGAGCTGGGAAGCCTGCCAAAAGAAAGCAACACCAGGTCAGGAAGGGGACACAATTCCTTTGGCAGTTCCAGAGCTCCCAGTCCTGCTAAGAAAACTGCTCATAGTGAAGGTATAAGGCTCACAGTTTCTATGTAGAAACAAAGTCCGAAGTGTGTAGTCTTCTTCCAGGCAGGACATGGAAGAATATCACATGCAAGGAACGGGGAGGGGGGCTTATTTAGAAAGACCAGGCTTCTCTCTTTGGAGATCATCTGCAAGCTGGTACTTGGCAGGGGCAGACCTACACGGGGTCTGTGGCTCTGTGAAAGCCAGAGCTGCCCCAGCTCCAGAAGCACAATGCTTTTGGCATAGTGATGATTTCCTGCTAGAGGTCCAAGTGGCCACCTCTCTGGCCCCTCCCTCAGCCTTCTTCATACATCAGTGAAAGTAGGAGAGAAGTGGGTCAGGAGGCTAACTTGCCGCTGTTGGCAGACCACATGTTTATAAATCTGAGCCATGCTTGAGAGCTCTGACTCAATCAGAAAGAGTAGGAAGCCAGGAATAAGTCCACAGACTATGCTAGACGGCCCCAGAAGGCATGGAATACAGTGGCTGTTGTTAAGTACTGTCGAGTCGGTTCTGATTCACAAAGACCCTGTATAGGGTTTCTAAGAAGCAACTGGTAGGTTTTAACTACCAACAGTCCAGTGCTTATCCTACAGTGCCACACAAAAGATATGGTTGTTGTTGTTAAGTGCTTTGAGTCAGTTCCGACTCATACCGACCCTGTAAAAGGTTTCTGAGGAGCGACTGGGGAGTTTGTACCTCCAACTTTGTGGTTCAAACCGACCTTCCAGTCCAGTGCTTATCCTACAGCGCCACACCAACCTTGTGGTTCAAACTGACCTTGCAGTTCAGTGCTTATCCTATAACACCACACCAGGACTCCAAGAGCTCGGTATTTTCCAAAGAGACAAGATTTTACCCCAGATCTCCACTGGTCCTGTCATTCTCCCAAGGATCACAGACAATGAACTTTCATTCCCAAGCACACTCTGTGTGAAGGAATGGATAAGCCATTGTCTTGTGATGAGGCATGACTATGACGTGTGGTTAACCATCACAGTCCCAGGAAGACGGAGAAGGCGAGAAACGCTGGGAGAGTTGGGAGCTTTGGGAAATAAGAGACAGGTGCCATAGGGAGCCAGATTCCATCACCTTGCCACCATGTGTCCCTTAGCCTATCATCTGCAGAGAGACATCTGGATAGAACTGGCCTCCTTCCTCCCCAGCAACGAGAAGACACATTCATATGTTCATAGACCATTCTCTTGCTTGAAAAGACAAAACTTCTCTTCAAGTAGTGGAGGCTGGGACTTGACCTTTTCCTCCATTGGCTTTTAAGCTCCCAACTGACTTGACCTCCTCCCCAAGCTGACAGGCTGGTCTGAGCCAGTGCTCAGATCTAAAGAGAGCTGACTTCACTCTGGCTCTTGGAAAAGGAGACACAATAGAGAAAGCTCAGTGGCCAGAATGGGTTAGCGCCAAGAGTGAAACTCTTTGGCTGTCTGATGTCACCGGTCAGGCATCCAGAGCCCCACAAACCTCTGGGGGCAGCCAAGAACACAGCCAAGCATCAACTCCTTGTACATCTGAGAGTGCTTGGCATCCACATATGTGGTGACTGCCCCAGAATACCAGAGTCAGTGTGGGGCCTTGGCCAATTTTAGGGCTTCCGGTCAAAATGTCACCCGAATTTTGGCTGTTGTTCAAGGACTTCCAAGCAGCTCCCTCTTGCTGCCTTCACATACTACAGGCAGCTCACAATGATGATAGATGAACTTCAGGGACCAAGAATGGCCCATCCTCTCATCTCTTACTTTCCACTGATAGGAAGGCAAAGCAGGAATGTAAAACCTTTACAAGCTCCAGGACTGACCTTGACCACCTATCTCATATATGGGGAGGGGCCAGGGAAAGGGAGAACTATTGATTCTTAAAGAACCCAGACCTTGCAGGGAGAAATCACAGAGGGAAAGCCATCTCCCCAAGACATTCCTTTAAAAAGCTGCAAAGCTGCCGATGCATGCTTTGGCAGAGATTCCTCTATCAGGGTGCAAGGTAATGCATTCCAGCTGTGCTCTGGAGTATGGAAATGAAGCTCTGACAGAGCTGGGAGGGGCCTGAGCACCCAGCATCTGGAATCCCCTTTTATGGAGACAAGCTGTTTGGCTCAGAAGACAACTCAGTCAACACCAGAAAATGTATCACTAAACTCAGCTGGCCCCCAAGTTCCACTGATACTTGGGAAGCAATCTCAGTGGCAGCTGGAAAAGGGCTGACAGCAGGGGCTTGGAGGGGTGTTGGACCAGCAGCCAGGGCAGGTGAGGAATGAGGTTTCCTGTGGCTTGGCTCAGTGACACCCCTGCCCCCAACTCTTAATTGCACATGCTGCCTTCTCACTTCCCCATCTGTTCAGACGCTGACATTTCCGAAGCCACAGCAATGGAAACAAACTGTAAATGGTTTGATTTTCCCCAAGAAGCAGAGGACAGAATCATCTCCATGTTTCTGTCTTTAGGATAGAAATGTCCCACTCCCATAATGGCCTATTGATGACAGGGAGACCTCTGGTTGCATTACTACAATTGCCATTCCCAGAACAAGATTTTCTCAAAAGTCTGGATCTTAATACTCAGGAAAAGCATCATTCTTGGTGAGAGAACATAATACTTTTTTGGTCACTCAACATCATCTCCCCCTTTTTTAGTAATAGGTCTGGCTGCCCTCTTGGGGAACATGTCCCTGTATAACTCAGGTCTTGTGATCTGAATGGAGCTCTGCCCCACTCTGGGATGAAGCATGTGATCTAGGCATAAGGTAGTTAGAAAACTGCAGATAAACAGCTACAGTCATTGGCTCAGAGATAAAAACTTCACCCAGTCAAGTCAGAGCCAATGATATACAATGAGACTTTTGTGGAGGCTCCCAGTGGGGAGGCATATATTCTTTCCATTTAATTTCAGTCAACAAGATTGCTGTTGTTGTTGTTAGGTGCCATCAAGTTGGTACTGACATACAGCGACCTTATGTACAACAGAACGAAACACTGCCACATTCTGCACCAACCTCATCATCATTGCCATATTTGAGTCCATTGCGGCTGCCACTGTGCCAGTCCTTCTCATTGGGGGGTTTTCCTCATTTTCACCGACTTTACCTAGCATGATGTCTTTCTCCAGGGACTGGTCCCTCCTAATAACATGTCAGAAGTATAAGAGACAAAGTCTGACCAATCTGTCTTCTAAGGAGCAGGCTGACAATATTTCCCAAACAGATTTGTTTGTTCTTCTGGCAGTCCATGGTACTTTTACTAGTCTCCTCTAACACCATAACTCAAATGTATCAATTCTACATTTTTCTATATTTATTGTCCAGCTTTCCCAAGCATATGTGGTTACTGAAAATACCACGGCTTGAGTCAGGCACACCTTAGTCCTTAGACTGACATCTTTGCTCTTGAACAGTTTAAAGAGGTCTTATGCAGATAGATCTGTTTTGGAAGAAGTGCAGCCAGAGTGCTCCTTGGAGGCCAGGATGGCTAAGCTTCGTCTCTCATACTTTGGACATATTGTCCAGAGAGAACAGTCGCTGGAAAAGGTTGTTATGCTGGGTAAGATGGAGGGTCAGAGAAAAAGAGGAAGACCCCAACAAGATGGATCGGCCAGGTGGCATCATTGATGGCATCGAGTGTGACAGCAGTAATGAGGTTGGCCCAGTATCGGACATTATTTCATTCTGCTGTGCATGGGGTCGCTATGAGTCGGTTCTGACTCGATGGCACCTGACAACAACAACAACAACAATGCAGATTTACCCAATACAATACGTAGTTTGATTTCTTGACTGCTACTTCCTTGAGTAATGATGGTTGATCTGAGCAAAATGAGGTCTCTGGCAACTTCAATCTTTTCTCCAATTATCTTGATGTTATTTATTGGTACATTGGTGAAGATTTTGTTTTCTTTACATTGGGGTGCAATCCATACCAAAAACTGTGGTCTTTGATCTTCATCAGTACTATTTCAAGTCCTCTTTGCTTTTAGCACACAAGGTTGTATCATCTGCATAACACAGGTTGTTAATAAATCTTCCTCTAATCCTGATGTCATGTTCTTCTTCATACAACCCAGATTATTTGGTTCTCAGATTATTTGGTCAGCATACACACTGAAAAAGTATGGTGAAAAAGCAAAGCCCCTGGTGCACACCTTTACTATTTTAAACCATTCTGTGTCCCCTTGCTCTGTTCAAACAACTGTCTTTTGGCCTATGCACAGATTCTTCATGAGCACAATTAAGTGTTCTGGAATACTCATTCTCAGCAATGTTGTCTATAGCTTGTCATGATCCACACAATTGAAAGCCTTTGCATAGTCAATAAAAGCACAGGTAAACATTTTCCTGGTATTCTCTGTTTTCAGCCACGATTTAGCTAAATGATATCCCTTGTTCCATGTCCCTGTCTGAATTGGGTTTGAACCTCTGGCAGTTCCCTGACAATGTACTGTGCTGCAGTTGTTTCTGGATTATCTTTAGCAACATTTTACTTGCATGTGATATTAACAATATTGTCCAATGATTTCCACATTTCACAGAATCACCTCTCTTTGGAATGGTCACAGATATGGATTTCTTCCAATCAATTGGCCAGGTAACTGTCTTCCAAGTTTCTTGGTATAGACGAGTGAGTGCTTCCAGTGCTGCATCAGCTTGCTGAAAGATTTAAATTTGTATTCTATCAATTCCTAGAGGTTTGTTCTTTGCCAATGCCCTCAGTGCATCTTGGACTTCTTCTTTCCGTATAACTGACTTTTGATCATATGCTACCTCTTGAAATGGCTGAACGTCAACCATTTATTTCTTTTTGGTATAGTGACACTGTATATCCCTCCCATCTTCTTTTGATGCTTTCTGCATCATTCAATGTTATGCACCCAGAGAATGCTTCAATCTTGCAAGTCGAAGTTTGATTTTTTTTTTTTTTTTTCAGTTTCCTCAGCCTGAGAAATGCTGAGCGTGTTCTTCCAACTCCAGGTCTTTGTATACTTCATTATAATATATGACTTTGCCTTATCAAGTTGCTCTTTGAAATTTTCTGTTCAGATCTTTCACCTCCTAATTTCTTCCATTTGCTTTAGCATCTCTAAGCTGGAGAGCAAGTTTCAGAATCTCTTCTGACATTCATTTTGGTCTATTCCCTTTTTTCTTCTCTTCTTAATGACCTTTTGCTTTCTTCCTGTACAATGTTCTTGATGTCATCCTATAACTCTATGGTCTTCAGTCTTTAGAGTCTAATTCATTAAATCTGTTCTTGAGATGATCTCTAAATTCAGGTGAGATATGTTCAAGGTCATATTTTGGCTCTCTGGACTTGTTGCGTAAATATGATTAATAGTTGTATTAACTGGTCTTCCTTGTAGTTATATGGATATTACCCTATCATCCAACAGCCTTAGGATAGATCTTGAAATACTTGTTTTGATGATGAATGTGACGCCATTCCTCTTCTATTTATCATTCCCAGCACAGTAAATCATGTGATTGTCAGACGCAGTATCAGTCCATTTCAGCTCACAAATGCCTAGGATATCGATGTTTATGTATTCCATTTCATTTTTGACAACTTCCAATTTTCCTAGATTTTCATACTTCGTACATTCAAAGCTTCAATTTTTAATGGCTATTTCCAGCTATTTCTCATTTTGAGTTGTGCCCCATCAGCAAATGAAGTTACAGAAGGCTTTACTCCATTTGCGCCATCAGTCAACTCTACTTTGAGGAGGCAGCTCATCCCCAGTCGTATTTTGAGTACCTCCCAATCTGAGGAACTCATTTTTCTAGCACTCAATCTGACAATATTCTGATGTTCTTTATCATATTTCAATAGTCAATGTTCTGGTGTTGTTCGATACAGTTCCATCTCGCCTTCCTCGTTTGTCTTCATCTGGAAGCTAAGTTGAAATCTGTCCCACCGTGCATGACCCTGCTGGTATTTAAAACACCCATGGCATAACTTCCAGAATCACAGCAAAATGCAAGCCAGCACAGTACAACAAACTGACAGACGAGTAGTGAAGTTAAAAGATTATAAGACTGGAAACACAGTCAGTCACCTTGCTCCCTAGGGGAAAGGACCAAACTGAGACTGAGAAGTAGAGCACAGAAGAAAATGGAATCGTTTTTGCTCCTGAATCCAGCCAGGCTTAAAGATCCATCTTGGACTTTTCTATTTTAGATGCGTACATATGCCTTCCTTTTCATTTATCCAGAAAGTGAAATGTGGCTCCTGACAGCAAGAGTAAAGTTCACTTTGATTTGTAAGCACCAAAAGTGGAACCCAAGTTTGAGAGCCATGAAAATCAAGGTGCTTCTCTTTCATCTCACTTCAGATGATGTAGGTCTCTTGTTTCTATCACAGGAGCCTTGGCAATGCTGTGGGTTAAGCATTAAGACTGGAAGCAAAGCTTTTCAGTTTAAATCTAACAGCGACTCCACAGGAGAAAGAGGAAACTGTCTGCTTCCGTAAAGATTTACTGCCTCAGAAACCCTATGGAGCTGTTCTACTCTAGTCTATAGGGTTGTTGCTATGAGTTAGAATCGACTAGAAGGCAGCAGGTTTGGTTTCATTTGTTTCAGTCAAGGAGACTTGGGGGTGCACAGTTAAAGCACTTGGCTGCAAACCAAAAGGTAGGTGGTTTGAACATACCATCTCCATGGGAGAAAGATGTGACAATCTGCTTCTGTACAGATTTACAGTCTCTGTGGACCACTTCTACCATGTCCTGTAGGGTTGCGATGAGTCGGAACTGACCGGATAGCAGTGGGTTTGATTTGGTTTTGGTTTTGTTTTGGTCACTGTAGGTGAAGAGGCCAAAACCAGGCCCTTGTGATCATTCCTGCCTATATAACCAACACTAGGTCTTCAGGATGGTATCTTAGTGCCAACCCTTTCTGGAGGCATCCTTTCTCATTTTTGTGTCCAGTACCCAAGTGCAACTATGGACTTGATTATAATCTTATAACCTCAGGAGAATAAGACTTCTCAGAGTCCAACTACAAAAGAACTCCCCCAATTAGCCTCCCCCGACAAGCCTCCAGGATCTGGGATCACTGCAGCTCTCACTTCTTCCAGCCTTACCATTTGCACCGCCTTTTCCCTTCTACCAGACTCAGCTATTTAGTAGTTCTGGAACATACCTGCTGGTTTTCATCTCCTTTGATCCTGCTGGCCCCTTTAGGAGTCCCTCTCAATGTATTTTTCTCTTTCCCAACCTCAGTGACCTTCCTCACTGGACTATAATTAAGCTCCCTAAGAACTATAATCCCCAGTGACTACAATCAAGCCTGGCAGAGAGCAGGTCCTCAGCCAGTGTTTACTGAATGAACGGATCATGCCTCATTTCAGGGCAGACACCCACTGAACAGGAAACCAGTCCCAGGCTCCTATCTGTCCAGAATAACATGACCTGAGGGTTGTGACTCGAGAGACAGGTGGGACAAGTGGCTTGGGCTGTTGGATGGGGAGAGGGCCTCACCATGTCTCCCATGTGTGGCTGGAACTCGAACTTCATAGGTGGGCAGAAGACATTGTTGTACATTTCCATGAGGCGCTGCTTGTCACTGGTGGCATCCAGGTTTTCTACTGCATTCTCGATGGCATCCAGGCCCTCATGCTTTGACTGCTCCAGATTCAACTCAGCGGAGAGGAAGGTGCGCAGGGCTCGGTTCAGGCTAGCGTGATAGCCTAGGTCACAACACTGCTGTGGGAGGGAAAAGGCACATGAGTAGACCATGGACAGCCCTAAGATTTGGCAGAAAAGGAGAGTGGCACTCAGGGGAGATGTGGCCACAGCAATGAGACCAGCTGGGCAGTGGGAAGACGGCAGACACTCTGACTTCCATGACTGGGGCGAGATTTCTCAGTTCTTGACTCCCAACAGCTCATCACTGCAGAAGACTGTGTGTGTGGTGGTTACAATGAAGAGGGTTTATAAGGATGTTATGACATTATCCAGCTATGTGTTGTATCATGCATGCTATTTGGTAAACATGAGAAGAGTTGAAGGTCAAAGAGAATACTCTTCTATTTTTGTTTTTTACTGGGGATGCCATTACAACAAAATTTGAATGAAAAAATGTTGCCTACCAGTCCTTGAGGATTTACTGTGGTTCAAAAACTATATATACACCAACCAAATCAGGCCATTTCAGCACTCAGGAATCAGCAATCAGGAGTGTTTTAGGAGTAGTTAATTGACCCACATTTACTTAGAAACTCTGGGTGGGTGAAGAAGAGACTGGGGAGGGAGGGGCGATAGTAACTCTCTGTCACTTATTACATCCACAAACTCTCAACACTCGGGAACAGACCTTAGCTACAGACGAGGATTTTTATACTATAGTCCTTGCCCTACAGAAATAGCATAGATAGGACCAAAAACAGCTCAAAATGGAAGTCTTAATGGGAAAATTCAGATCATGCACAGAAATTGTTGTGTGTTTTTTTTTAAATCAAAATGTTTTTTTAAAAAAAAAAATGGTATAATAAAAGAGGCAAGCACTGGACAAGTGGTCCAGAAAACCTTGGAAAAGACACCTCCCCCATCCCTGAGCCCATTTCCTCAACAGTACAATGAACAAATATGACCAAGTTCATGGTGTTCACGCTGTGTATCAGAGCTCTAAGATGCTGGGTCACTGTTTCAGGGCGACCCTGGGGAAGGGGGTAACAAGACAGCCCAACTACTGGGCCTGGGCTCCTCCTACCTCTGCTTCCATCAAACCAGCTTTGCTGGGGGGTTTTTTTTTCCTGTTCCGTATATCATAATTTTATCTATGGTCTGGCTTGAAGAAAGAGTTCTGCTAGAGAATAAATCTGGAAACACTTTGACTAAATATAATGCCCAAGATCTTCAGAAGCGACTTTTCCTTTCCCTCCAGAAGGACTGCAGATTCAAATTCCTAGGACTTCTATTATATTCTCTATTGCTCATGCAGATTTGAGGTCCAGAACCTGAGAAGAAACGTTAGAGAAGCATACATAGATAAAGACCATCGGTCGGAATGCCATTTCATTCCATAAGCAGACATCAAATTAAGCCCCCATGCTTTCCTTATCATGATCACATTGGGAGCAGCCGCTAGTGGAGATAAAAAAAGCATGTGATAAGCCTTCCCAGAATCTGACAAGATGCTCAGCAATGGAGTGCCTGTCAGGCTGAGCTTTGGGTTCAGTGCCAACAGGCCCTGGCAGGTGCCTGACTGCAGCAGAAGAACAGCAGTTACAGCTTAACTACAGGCAGTGGATAGAAAGGCATTAAATTCAGTTGAGAGGGAAAAGCAAATGGAAGTTAGACAAAAGCGGCTGATTGGGATGCTGCACGTGCAGGGACCCTTCCTCCTCTGGGAGATGCTGCTGGGCTAGCCAGACTGCCCTTGAACCTGTAAACCTCCAGCCCTAGCTCTCTGTAGACCAGATGATTAACTGTATACCTTTCAGTCTAATGACCAGAAGTAAGGATGCTGCTAAACCAGCATGCATACATACTAGGGGAGGGGAGGGCAGTTCTCTAAGGCAGGAATGAATTAGGGCGAGTCAGTGTGCCCTTCATAAACGTTTACATGCTTTTGGTAACCCACCTTTCCTCTAATTCTAACTAAGCCTACCCTGATTCATAGTCCCATTGTCTTATACCAGTGCTCACTGCTTAAGATCTTAAAATGCGGTGTTTAATTACGTCAGCCTCCTGCTGAAGAACCAACAATAGCTCTCGTTTTTTTTTGTTTTTTTTTTGAAGGGAATGTCCATCCTCCTTGTTTGGCAATTTAAAATTGCCTTTAACTTGTTAGATGTGCTTACTACACACCAAGGAGCTCTGGTAGCATAGTAGTTACAAGTCAGGCTGCTAATCTCATGGTCTGCAGTTCGAATCTACCAGTGGTTTCTCAGGAGAAAGATGAGGCTTTCTGCTATGAGTCAGAACTGACTCCACAGCACACTATCACCACCACCAACTATATACCAAGCAGTGCTAAGTACTTTACATACAATCTTCATTTTAATTCTCATAGCAAATCCTATGAGGTTAATAGTATCTTAATTTTCTAGACTAAGAAGTAAAGGCTCAGTGAAGTTAAAGAACTTGAGCAAGGTCAAAGCACTAGAACAAACTGATCTGTTTCCAACCTATCCATCCAACGGTTAGCTCTATCCTCTTCAGACTTGTCTGTTCTAATCCAATGACACTCTCTGTTTACGAAGAATATTGAAAAAGTAAGAGCCTGACATCAGCTGTGTGACCTTGAGCAAACTACTTAACCTCTCAGAGTTTCAAATGAGGATCACATCAGCCTCCTAGGTGGTTGTGCCAGTAAATATGGGCAATGTATTTGCATATCTCAGGCACCATGTAGAGACACCAATTGCTACAATATTCTCAAATCCACTGAACTCTACCTAGCAGCCTTCCTTCCTGATGTGTTTTCCACTCTCTTCAGCTGTTGGAATTGGACCTAATCTTCAGTATCAAAGTCAAATTCCCAGTCTCTGGGAAGCCAGCCAGCCAGCCCTGTGGCCTTGGCCTATGCTTAGAACTACATTTGTCTGTAGCTCTCATGTGGCATCAAATATGCCCCCTCATTTTGGGCTTTCTGTTTCCAATCACTTGACCAAAATAGATGTCTTGTAAGAGGGCATGGCCAGTGTCATTTTCTTTGTGTCCCTCACCATGATTCAATAAACATCAGTTGATTGATTAATCCCAGGATTAATAATTTATAAGTTCCAACCCCTCAAAAAACAACACCAACCCACACCAAACTCAATCCAATGCTGTCACGCTGATTCCAGCTCAGAGCAACCCTAATAGGGCAGAGGAGAACTGCCTTACAGAGTTTCCAAGGCTGTCATTGTTACAGAAGGGTCCTGGTGCGGCAACGGTTCAAACCCACCAGCCACTTCTTGGAAATCCTATACAGGATCACTAAGTTGGAACCAACTCCACAGCACTTCACAACTATAAACAAGAATCTTTATAGAAGCAGACTATCACATCTTTCTCCTATAAAGTGGCCAGTGGGTTCAAACCTCTAACCTCTTGGTTAGCCACCAAGTGCTTAACCAATGTATCACTAGGGCTCCTCTTGGAATAAAACACATGGGCTGAATACTCATCTAAGTCAAGTGGGTGAAGAATGTGACCAAGTGATGTCTTCTATTTTGCTCACTCTGTATGGGCTGAGGAAGGCAGGAAGCTTTCTTCAGGCTGGTCCACTGTCTCGATTTAAGTGACTTTCTTATAGCCTGACTGTGTCAAAGAGGAGGAGGGGTCTAACTTGTGACCATGCCCTCTGCATCATCAACAGCCCCAGCCAAGCAGGAAGGTTGTGAATTGGTTTTCCAGGGATGGCTATAGTCCAATGACTGTAGGAAAAACTGTCAGAATCTGAGCCTTCACCAAAGCAGCAATTTCTAGCAAGGTTGGGGAAATGGGATTTGAACATTTTAACCTTGTTCCCAGGAGAATCCCAGGGAGTAGAGGCAGCAATGATGTTGCCCGGAATGGTGACAAAGCATGCTTTCCATGGCTTCTGATGAGTCCTCTGGCCATGTTGGGTTCCTTTGGCCATTTTTGGGTTATATAAATGTTTGATGAAAACCGTCTCGCGGGAAATCAAATTTTTATAAGAATTTAATGACAGCCCATCCAGATATCTGATGAGCTGAGCTGATAGCTCATTAACCCTTTACCAGCTAACTTCCTCACTCAGAGGCTCTATAGAGGAGCCCTAGAAAGGAAAAATGGGTGTCTCCTAAGACCCACTTCAAGTTCACTCAGAAGAGAAAATCACTGCTCTTAGTAAAATTTCCTGTTGAGAATGCTAAGCTCTCTGGTGCCTGACTTGGGAGCACACAACCTCCCCAACTTTTTGTCTATAGACACAGGACTCACAACGCTCAGCTATGCGTGAGGACAATGCACTGTTCTTCATTCATCCATCTGTTCCTGGGTTGAGAGAGCCACGGGAGTACGGGGGAGGAAAATTACATTCCAATGACGCTCCAGTTCTTAGACGCTATCAAGTGAGCTCAGAATGTCTTTTTGGCCCGAAGTCAAAGTTTTTCTGGCATGTGGCGAATGCCTCACATGGATTCCTATAGTCCGACTTTAAATCTTATTCTATGCTATAAAAAGAAATCAGAGGCTAGAATGTGAGTCCAAGTATTGAGAAAAACACCAAAATCAACTTCTTTTCACTTATCCTCAATGTCTTAAGCACACGCTAAGCTGCCACACCCCTAGGAAGGAGGCTGAAGGGTACAGAGAACACAGATGGCAATGGACTGGAACAAGATTCATTCCATGGCTTAAAGCAAGTTCTGGGGACTGTCAAGATGAGAATGCCAAAATACCCAGCCTCCCCACTCACACCTGCTCAAAAGCATTGGTTCATCACCAAAATGCTTTGTTATTTGTACTTTTTATTGCACAGGCCACAGTAAAAAATAACAAACATGGATAAAATCAACAATATCGGTGGAGGTTAAAAATATGCTAAGCAAAAAAGGGAAGAATCAAAAAATATATATAAGCTGTATAATCCCATCCTTGGGGAGTTCCACAGGCGCTGCAGGTTAATGTGCTGGACTGCAAAGTTGGTTTGACCAGCAAGGTCGGTGGTTCAAGTTCACCAGCTGCTCCTTGGAAACCCTATACGGGGTCGCTGTGGGTTGGAACTGACTTGACAGTTAGCAAGAACAACAACAACAACAGCAGCAGGCAAAAACTAGTTTATGGTGAAAGAGATCAGAGCAGTGGGGTATGGGGATAGATCAACTAGGGAGAGGCAAGAGGAAGCTTCTAAGGTGATGAAAATATTCTACATAGCGATAAGAGATATAGCTTGTATCCCACTGCCTTCAAGTCGATTCTGACTCATAGCGACCCTACAAGACAGTGCTTATAGGACCCTTAATAAAATATCCTATTGAGAATGTTAAGCTCCCTCATGTCTGACTTGGGCGCACACGACCTCCCCAACTTTTTATCCACAGACACAGCACTCACAATTCTCAGCGATGCGTGCGTCCTAGAAGTAGATGTGCTCCATAGGGTTTCCAGGGTTGGAAATCTTTAAAGAAGCAGGCAGTCCTCATCTTTTTACCCCAAAGGAGCAACCCAATGCTTAACCCACTGTGCCACCAGGGCACCTCATTGGTTACAAGGGGTATGAATTTGTTCAAACCCTTCAATCAGCCACCCAAGTTCAGTCACTATATGTAAACTATACTTCAATTAAAAAAAAAAAAAAAAAAGGCACAAAAAAATACAAACTTGTCTTAAGGAATCTCCTCTTCCTTTTTCTATCCTTCCGTCTTTCAATAACAACACTCAATGACTAGCCATGTATTGAAAACGTTGTTGTTAATTGCTGCCAAGTTGGTTCTGACTCACAGCACCCTGTATAGAGTTTCTGAGGAGCAGCTGGTGGGTTTGAACTGCCAACCTTGTGGTTCACAGTTGTACAGAAGGCTTGGTTCCTACCCTCATGGAGCTCACAGAGGAGATTAAAAGACAGCTTCTTCCTTTGTTCTTGCTGTTGTTACGTGACATCCAGTTGGTTCCAGCTCACAGAGACTGTACAGTGTTTTCAAGAAGCTGATGGATTTGAACTGCCAACCTTATGGTCTGCAGTACAGTGTTTATCCTACACCTCCACACCAGGACTCCTCGGTCCTTAATGACTCTCAAACTTTTTGGACTCTCAACTCACAGTATAAAATACATCTTCTATTGCAACATACACAAATGTGCACATATACAAACCTAAGATAACAGTTTCAAACACTTAACCTTACTAGTTTGATGCACCCTGATCTAATCTATTCTGGAGCTGTGTGTTAGCATTGGGCTGCTAAAGTCAGCAGTTCAAACCTACCATTCGCTCCACAGTAGAAAAGAAGACAATGTCTATTCCCGTAAAGATTACAATCTCGGAAACCCTACGTAAGGTTCTGATGAGTCAGAATTTACTTGGTGGCTGTGGGTTTGGTTTGTTAAAAATCAGGTCAAAACCCTTAAAAGTGATTTCACGACTTCCCTGATGAGTCATGAGCTACAGTTTGAGAAACACCCTTTCATCACCTCCTGTGTTTATCTGTGGCACTGTAGTTAGTTGGCCCAGTTACATGGAAATTATCTGTCTACAAGTCTGTGACCACCTCCAGGACCAACAAGATTTTATTCCTTTTCGTACCCATAGCAAAGAGCACAGCGCCAGGTACAAACTCCCACCACAAATATATATTCACTAAACATGTATAGCTGGACCAATAAACAACATTCTTATCAACAGAGAAAGGATTGAAGTTATCAAGGACTTCATTCTTCTTGGATCAACTATCAACACTCATGGAAGCAGCAGTCAAGAAATCAAACGACGTATTGCATTAGGCAAATCTGCTGCACAAGACCTTTTTAAAGTGTTGAAGAGCAAAGACGTCAGCTTGAGGACTAAGGTGCTCCTGACCCAAGCCATGGTATTTTCAATAACCTCATATGCATGTGAAAGCTGGACAGTGAATAAGGAAGACCATAGAATTGATGCCTTTGAGTTATGGTGATGGAGGAGAATATTTTAAGTGCCATGGGCTGCAAAAAGAACCAATACATCTGTTATGGAAGAAGTGCAGGCAGAGTGCTCCTTGGAGGCCAAGATGGCCAAATTTTGTCTCTCATACTTTGGACATAGTGTCAGGAGGGACCAGTCGCTAAAGAGGGATATCATGTTTGGTAAGATGGAGGGTCAGAGAAAAAGAGGAAGACCCCCAACGAGATGGATTGGCCAAGCGGCAGCATCAATGGACTCAAGCGTGGCAACAATAGGGAGGTTGGCCCAGGATCGGGCAGTGCTTCGTGCTGCTCTGCATAAGGTCGCTCGCTATGAGTTGGTGCTGACTCGATGGCACCTAACAACAACAACAAACATGTATAGAGCAGGATAATGTTATTAGCTTTTTGTTGCTGTTGGTTAAGGTAGCAACTAGTTAGCCTAGGGGGGAAAACAAACAAACAAACAACAGAATAAAATAAGAGACTACAAAAACACAACAGTAAGGAAATAAGAGCAACTTTACTACCCCTGGCCTGGAATGATACCAAGCTGGACTTCTCCCCAGAAATCTAGACCCTGGCTGAGCACTGAGAAAACTGACATGTTTCTTTTATGATATTTCATACCTCAACTGGGGAAATTAGCTTTGTAACATACTTAACAACAACTTCAATGATTAGAATAAGATATAAAATAGCTTGCTTCTCAGACAGGTTTTAAAACACCTTCTCACATCCTGATGAAATGCAACCGAAAGGTTGCAGGACTGGTGATCTACTTCCAAAAACCCAGCCAATAAAAAAACTCTATGAAGCACAGTTCTACTATGACATGACTGATTTTGTCAGGAGTTGGAGTTAACGTGACAGCAACTAGTGTGGTTTATTGTTTGGGGCTCCCACCTGACAGAGGGTCTGAGGAGGACAACGGCTATGGATTGATCAGCAGCAGACCTTTTCTTATGAGGTCAGCATTTTTGGTGAAAGGGGTGGGAAAATGCCTCAGGAGGGACAAACCAGTAGGAGAGGTGTGGCAGACTAGAGAGTCTGGACGTGAGAGACATAGTAGAAATTGAGCAAAAGAAAGAACTGATTCTCTTCCTCCTGCTGAGAATAGGTTACTCTCCCAACACTGAGGAACTGTTCCCCTGAGGAGGCAGCAAGGATCCTGTTTAGGGGTTTGACCTTCATTGAAGGACAATGTTCAGATTGG